CCTGCCCTGAGCAATCCTTTCCAGTTCTCTTTAGTTGTTATTTATCCTTTTCATATCTGCGTCCATTTAACGACGTATTGCGTTCTTTGGCCTTTCCCTTTTCTGCTTTCCTTCAGGATTCCAAGGTAGGGTTTGCCTCGTGATGCAGTTTGGTGAATTCTGTAACGTATGTTCTATTTACTTCCAATCTCTTTTCATAATTTCCTCTTCAAATGGAAGCTAGTTTGTCCTCTTCCACAGTAGGTATCCGGCCAAAGTATTTAGACAACTTAGTCCATTAAACTTGGCCTAATCACATTTAAGATAGCGTTTAAAAGCAACAATGTGCTGAATTTTGTACTATTTATGCCCTAATTTGAATTAGCTTCAAACTTTTCCTTATTTGTGATCAGAGTTTTCACTCTTGATATTTTCACTTTATTTAATAAGGAACTATTACACTATTACACAACCGCTACAAGTTGTTAAATATATTACATTATAGAATCTTTCGTACAATTATTCACAATAAATTAAAAGGTATATTTACAAAAATTAATTCTTAGAATGAATGATGTTTCTTAAAGAGTATGGTGGTCAATCCAATATTTAATCCTAATTATCACAGTATGAATGGAAAAGCATTTTAGGGCATGTTAAGTAAGACGAATGCTTTAACGATACACTTATTTTTGTACAGATTGTTTTAGTAATTCACTAAGCTGTGAATACTTGTTTTAGCTATTGTCGCTATCATGGCTCTGATTGATGTTTAATATCATTAACAATAACTTTTTAAATACTGAACAGAATGCTGACAGTAATGGTGTTTTCACTAGTTACAAACTTCTAAAGAGAATCTATAATCAATGGAGTTCAGCCATGCAGTATATGAGACAAGTATCACCATTGGTAATGAATGATGATCAATTAATATTAAGAACTGATTGAAGTTTAAAATGCGACCTAACGGATGTCAATTCCGTAGCCCAAACATTTCGGGTTAGACCTTGAGACGAGTCATGAATATCAACCTCTGAAGAGTTCAAAACTAGAACTAAACAGCTGTGCATTAGTTCATATTTTTCAATGGTTAGTTAACTAAAGTTAATCAGCAATTTCACCTGAATGTTTCACAACTTTTACAATCTCCAACTTAAAATACCCTTCCCATTTGATTGTATTTATCATGAAATACAATCAAAATATTAGAATCAATACAGAAGCTTTTTTATTACTCATTAATATTTTATCTTTTCATATTTTAAGTTAAATTATCTTTGAAGTTACGGAAGAATAACATAAACAAATAAACAGTTTTTGAAAGGTTTGATATAACAATTTACTGTTTTACACTATCATACTTCCCATTTGTTATATCCCGATAATAATAACAAGTAATGGTAACTTTCGGGATCCATTTATGGAACAATACTATGCATATATTTTATCGTATAGTAGCTAAGTAACTAAACTATTCATATTCATGTCCCTCTTACTATGAGCTTTATTTTGACCTGTGAACTATTATCATACGATTTACCATTCTTGAGTTACGCCCTGTCTATCAATTACTATCTTCCTTATTCACAGTCACATTTGGTTTAATCTTGTACAAATGTTACATCCTATTTTATGGTACGATGTGGTCTGTTTGGTTGGTATATAAGCCCAGTATGTTTTAAATACATTAGTCATATAACAGAGGCTGAGATTGGTGTTCTGGACTTAACTGGCTGGGCCAAGAACGAAGCAGGACTGATAACTACTCTAGACTGCTCATATGGTTTAATGCGTCATTGATCCGATGGACAATTCACTGTTCTCTAATTGGCGGTATCATCATGTTATACATTAACAATGCACAAAGGCCACAAGATATAACGCTATTCAAATAAAAAAGAGAAAAGTAAAAACAAGAAAAGTGAATAGGAAAACGGTGATAAGAAGAAAATTAATCAGAAAACCTAAGTAAAACAAGATATAACTACATCTTAAACTTTTCTTGTTCACACTGTTAACAATTCATAAAAGCAATTGAATAGCCAAATTGTATCTGAACATAAAATTGTTTATCAATAAAGTGAATACTCTGTAAATGTTAAACTAAGTAGGCTTATCTATGATGTACATATTTCTTGTTATATTTATATAGCATTACATGTTTACAAACTTTGTTTTTATAGCTAAAAGTGTATAAAGAATGTGATAAAAACAATTGTCTATTTGATTAACATTTACATAATTACTGAAAGACTTTTGTAAATGACTTTTTTTCCAATAATTCAGTTAAGATTTGTAAATAAAAATTGTTCTTACTATTTTGACATAAAGAATTTTTGTATAAACACCAAAGATATCTATAGTGAAGAAAAATATGTCAAGAAAGTATGTCTACGACGTTGTGGAAGTAAACGGGGTACTTTTGTGTTCACACTACGCCTGAATGAGAGATGTGAACACCAAGCCTCCTTTATAATTTTTAGATGTATGTGCTTTGGCACTCACACATAGACTGGTAGATACAATTGGAAGTAACGTAAGCGGGTAATTTTTCTGCACGTAACTGTTCTAATGAGCCTTTTTTTTCTACGGAGAGATCAGCTTGGCAGATGGATACTTTCTTATTATTATAGCATGGTTGAGCACGTTTCACAGAACCTTAGACTGTGGGATGGTACATTTTTAGCAGTGAGATCGGACGTCATCAGTTTAACAGTGGTCATGGTGTAGATGTCTTCAAGTCCTTCAAAATAAATAATTAATAAACAAAAAATGTCAACTTTACTACGGTTTGCCGAAGCGATATCCATAAAAAGACAAACCAAATTTATGAATCTAGAGAAATTCAGTCGTCAATCTTGTCTTGCTGTGGTAAACTCATTCATAAATGTTCGGTGCGCAATTCTTTTTTTCATGGCACTAATTATTAATTATCACTTCATATCTGGTCTGTACTCAGTCACTTAATTATTTTAAGTTGCATAACTGTGACATTAATATATTATTTTAAAATAATTCTGCTTCTGGGTTCTTGGTTGTTGATTCTAGAATATCCCTATATTCAACCCATAAATATTCCCATTAACATATGAACAATTCTTGTCGTTCTTACATACCCATTACTCTTTTTATTAAACTTCATCGATGATAACTCTGCCGACGTTATGATATAAAGTATGTACACTGGTCTTTATAGATTAAGAGCATTATGCTAAGGTTGTAAGCGGTTGACGAAAAATGAGAAATATAGTGAATTCGCCTTATTCTGCTGTATTAACTGTTCTGTCAAACATATAAATTGGAAAACTGTATGAAAAGAACTGAATTAATTAAGCATAAGTTAAAATCTAAGAACTTTCAATCTATTAACACAGAAGTTATGCAAACAAGAAATAGCATTGTCGTATTACTTCCCCTACTAAATAATCGAATCCATTTTACCGAGTTCAATATAACCTGGTTTTAAAAGCAAACACAAATGAATCCCGCGAGCGGGAACGTGGATGCTCACTGCTGAGGAGTCCCATACTGGGACGAAACGGCCGTCCAGTGCTTCCAGGTTTCGAACGGTGGTCTAACATTAGTCGATTCATGATCTCAATCAAAAACTTAATAATTTCCACAACCCCAATAATGACAAATGAACTCGTTGGTTATCTCTATGGTATGACATGTAAAGCCGATATTAACAATTTTATTTTTAACTTGTTAACATATCATTATATATTCTTCTAGAATCTAAATTATACTGAACTATATATATTCAACTATTATATTACTATAATATCCACAAAACCTCACTCTGATTACAGTACATTTATTTTTATGAAATGTTTTATGTCCAGAGAAATTTGTTGATAGTTTTGATTTCTGAGTATAGTATGAATATCTATGATTATTTATATACAATTATGAATGTGAAAGACTATTACAATGAATTGTCTTGATGGAACTAGACTAATTATCAATAGACTAATTTATACATCGAAAATGAAATAAACTGGAAACATTTTTATAATTTATAAAGAAGTACTAAATGAATGCCAAATTTTTTTTGTATTATTAAAGAATGACGTGAACATATTTTAAAAGTAAAAGAGAATACAACAAACATTTCGAAAATATATACAACCTATCAATAAAATTATTACATAATTAAATTTACAGTAAGTATAGATGGATAATGTTTCACTACATGATCTATCGGTCTAGTTTCTTTAAATAACACATTTTATTTAGCAAACAGTACAATAGTTTGTCCATAATTTCGTTTTATTATTCCATTTGAAATATTTTACGTCATTATATTTAATCATGAAGAATGTAAGTATCAAAAATTAGTATAATTTTGTATTATCATAAAACTCCGAAATTTTGGACAATTTTTACATTCCAATGTCTTTTAGTATATTCCACTTTTTATGCGCTTCTAAAAAATAAGTAACAAACAAAGTGACTGATCCATTTCAGTCTTAAATAACAATTAGAACGTACAAATAAACAATATCAAGTAAATAAATAACAAACTAAGTTAGATTATTGACTATTATATAAAGAATATTTACTACAATATGATCAAAGTCATATAATCATGATTTAAATGTGAATACATATTTTATGTATTGAGAATTTAATCTTAGAATTGTGTGTACAGAAAACTATTACCATATAATACTACTGTTAAAAATATATGAACTTAAGTAGTCATTTATTGTGACAATAAAATGAGTAGTTTTTCAGGTCAGAAAATGTTTCCTTTGCTTGTAGAAAATAAATCACACTTATTAAATGTTTGTTAAAAACTATAAATTTATAGGATTAAACACTTTGAACAATGTTGTAAATAAAAGTATCGCAGTCACTAAAATTGTTATATAGAAGATTCTTCTGAATTTCTAGTTCGGACTATTTATATAATCTATATCATTGCTTGAGTGTATGCTATATATTTCTATCCAAAAATACACAGGTATTGTTAATTCCCTTAAAATTTTCTGTATTCATATTTTCTGTTGTAGACATGCAGTAAAATTATTGATCCATCCGAACAATATATGACATATAATGACAGAGCTTATCATAAGAATTGTTTTACATGTGCTGCTTGTCATCAAAGTTTGGCCGGTAAACAATTTTGTATCAAAGATAATGGATATTATTGCCCCGAACATGTTTAAGAATAAATGACTGATATGTTTTGTTTCAAACAATGACAAATTTCAGAAATTAAAGTATGTAAGTGACTACATGATTAATTTTTATGTTGCTCCCAATAAAAGATAACGTTTAAATTATATATCAAAATTATCATTTCAAAATGACAAGATCGTCAGAAAACAAAATCTTCAACTATTTTTATGAAACATATTGATCAAATTATAAGATCTGACACTCTGTATGAAGTAGTATCTTCGATATGTCTTGTCCAAGAGATAGTTCATAAGATCCGGCTTATTCAAATAAAAGTGACAAACTAGGTGTTTACGTATATTGTATTCAACGGTCCCAGAGTGCTTTCATGCTATTGAATGATATTTAAAGATAAAAACGTAATCAGTAAATGGATCGCAGCATCATTCTTTTAAATCTTGGCTTCTCTATATTTAATAATTAAGCTAGAATAAATGTTCATTTACAAGGAAATTCTTTAGACAAGATTTATTTCATGAAATATTGCTCAGATCATGTTACTAAAGTAGATTATTGTTTACTCATCGTACTTACTTACGCCTGTTACTCCTAATGGAGCATAGTTCTATCCAATACTTGTTCATTCTTCTCATATCTGTCTCCGTTTCTCGACGAAATGTGTTCTTTGATCTTCCTCTCCTCCTTCGACCTTGAGGATTCTATGTGAAGGCTTGCCTTGTGACGCAGTTGGGTACTTTCCTCAATATGTGTCCTATCCACTTCCAGCGCTTCCACCTGATTTCTTCCTGTGCTGGGATCTGATTTATCCACTCCCATAGTAGGTTGTTGCTGATAGTTTCTGGTCAACGGATTCGAAGTATTTTGCGAAGACAGCTGTTAATGAACACTTGTATCTTCTGGATGATGGCTTTCGTAGTTCTTCAAGTTTCCGCCCCACACAGTAGAACTCTTTTAACAATTGTGTTGAAAACTCTGACCTTGGTGTTGGTTGCCAATTATTTTGAGTTCCAGATGTTCTTCAGTTGTAAATATGCTGCTGTTTCTTTGCGGATACACGCCTTGACATCTGCATCAAAACCACCATGTTTATCAATGTTGCTGCCCGGATATGCAAAGGTTTTGACATCTTCCAAATCTTCTCCGTCAAGTGTGATTGAATTGTTGCATGCTGTTTTGTATCGGAGAATCTTGCTTTTCCTTTTGTGTATGTTCAAGCCTACTGCTGCTGAGGTTGCTGCTACACTGGTCGTCTTCTCCTGAATTTGTTGTTGCGTGTGCGATAGAAGAGCTAGATCATCTGCGAAGTCTTGATCGTCCAGCTACATCCTAGTTGTCCACTGTGTCTCGTGATTCATCGTAACGTACGTAAAAACTATTTAAATTTTTATGACCACCAAAAAATTGTATCTTGTAAACCAGACTACTTAAAGAGTATTTATTCATCAGTGTATAAAATCTTAGTGATTAATCTTTAACAGAAATAAAAATACTGATAGTATCTGTTATAGTTTGGCATTTATTAGCAATTCACTGAAACCTATGGGTCATTATATAGATGTTTTATATTAGAATGAAACTGTTTATTAATGAATACAATCATATTTCATATAAAATCTAACCGAGAATGTTTACTATCTCATTAAAAACATAAATAGCATTTTCAAAATGTGTTCTGTAATTTCTATTTGTTTGACCTTAGGATTAATTAATTAATTAATTGAATTAATAATTCGAAAAGCGTCAAAAGAAACTTTTTCATCAAATTCGAATATTTTCTAAAGTATGTGCACATTTTTACATTAAAAACAAAAACAACAAGTCAATAAGAATAAACCTGAAATAATTTGCACTTCTTTTATGAAATTTCTTGAGAAGTAAACATATCTAATTTACTATAGAATGTAAATGTATAAATAGGTTTTGTTTTGGTCATTTCTAAGTCACTTATTTTTTTCAATGAGTCACACACTACTGATAATCTTTGTAGTCTTATTACATAATCCGAATCCTCATTAATATATCTTATTTAATGATAATTAGCATCCTGTTGTTTGATGTTAAAACATAATGCATTTGTCTAAATGTGTATTAGTTACACAAACATTGTCATATATGACTATTTTGTTTTGATCATTAATCTATTAAAAAAACAAGTCACCAAACAGTTGATCATAACATTCAATCTCCTTAAATTCAAGCTTATTTAGACAATTCAGCTGACTTATATATTAGCTGGATTATATTTCTTGACTGTTATATTCAAATCTAAACATGAAAGCAATGTCATTGTCATCTATGGTTCACATTTTCCAGATAACAACTGAAGATACAGAGGTATCTATGTACTTCCTTGCTTACGCCTGTTACTCCTCGTGGAGGAGCGTAGGCCGTCCACCAGCACTCTCTATCCAACTCTGTTCTGAACTATCCTTTCCAGGTGTTTCCAGTTGTTGTTCATTCTCTTGATTTCGATAATGCAATGAGAAGACGAAGTTTATCAGAATTATGTGATATATCAGCGCAATACACTTCGAACAATCTGACCACACATATACTTGTTTAGAGCATTTATATATAAAAATTAAAAGGTCAACTAAACAGGTTAAGGGTAAGTTATAATAAAGGAAAAATATTAAAGTACACAAAAACAAATGTGATTACCACTCTGGATAATAAATCAGTATTACCAGGGTAGGTTAAGTGTAAGGACAAATTGTTTTTGAACACATAAAGGGGGTTTCAGTTTCGTACAGACAAGGCTTCAATAAACCTTAGTATACGTCCTTGAAGGCTTTTGTATAACATTACAAATGCTGATTTGATGTCAACCTTATGACCCGTGTCAATCAAATGTTTCGGAATGGAGGATGATGCCTCTCTATCCTGTGATCTCATTTGACCATTGGAATCCATTTGTTTTAGGAACCATTTTGGTATGTGTTCACCCGCCCTTAATTGCAAATCATGATTGCTCCTGTCTATGTATGTGTTTCCACGCATACATGAAAACTGATAGACACAATGGGGTGTGACACAATCGCTTTCGTGCTGTTTGGGCTTTTGGTGAAACATAGACCTTGCCTTTTCAATAATGACAAGTTGGGCTGCTTAAAATATCCGGTTGATAGCTAATTTAGGTCTCTCTTGATGTTTGCTTTCGATTCTCGATGCAGTGTGTTCTTCTTTTACATTACCCTTCAGGATTCCAAGTTAGAGCTTGCCTCGTAATGCAGTTAGGTCATGTCTATAACATATGTCATATCCACCTTCATCGTCTTTTCCTAATTTCCTCTATAACTGGAAGCTGGTTTGTCCCCTCTCACAAAAGGTTGTTGCTGATGGTATCCGGCCAACGTATAATGAGTATCTTGTGTAGACAACTATTTATAATTACTTGTACCTTCTTGATGGTGGTTGTAGTAGTTCTCCACGTTTCAGTAGGAATGTCTTGACGTTCGTATTAAAGATGTTGACTTTGATATTGGTTGACGGTTTTTTTGAGTTTTAGATGATTTTCGACTGCAAGAATGCGACTCTTGCTCTACCAATCCTTGCCTTTACGTCTGCATCCGATCCTCATTGTTCATCAATGATGCTTATCAGTTACGTGAAAGACTCCGCAACTTCCAGAGTTTCTCCATCAAGTGTAATTGAGTTGATGTTCTCCGTGTTGTATTTAAGGATCTTGCTTTTTCCGATGTGTATGTTGATGCCTACTGATACAGACGCTGATTGTGTTCATCTGCATTTGTTGGTGTGTATGGAATAAAAGTTCTAGGTGACCTGTGAAGTCCAAATCGTCTAGTCACATATAAGCTGTCTATTGTATCCCGTGCTCTTACTCAGATGTCCAGGTCGACCACCAGAAGAAAGTAGTGCGTTTTAAATCTATGAGAAATTGTAAATTTTAGTTATGTCATACAAAATCACAATAATGAACAAAAATATCGACCGGTACATTTTAAAACTCTCTGTATTAAGTGATACCATTTGAAATATATCTATTTTCAATGTTAAACAAACTAAACAATTAACTACTTATTAACTAATTTATTAATATTTTCATAAAATTAATTGCATAATTTATTTTTTTGTTTTTTCTTCTTAATTTTAGAAGAATTTCAAAATTATTCTTCATTTTAAATGATTATTTCTCGTTATTGACCTTCTCATTATTGTGATTATTCTTTTGAAATATATATATATATATATATATATATATATATATATCTTATATTATTAATTTACTATAATTTACATTTTACAATTTATGTATTTGAATTAAAATTTTAAAAAAAGATTAAAATATTTGATTTGATGATTACGTAATAACTCAATTATTATGATACATTATTGATTACTTATATTATTGTTTACACATTTTGAAACTATACAAATTAACCTTTTTTGCACACTAACAATTTTCAACAATTATCTTTATTATTTTCAAAACAAAACCAAACGAGAAAAAAACCTCAATAAGTTTTCATTGGTCTTTTCTTTTTGGATTAATGTAGTTGAATTTTATTTTAATTTGAAATGATCTCTGTTTTTGTCTTTTTTCTTACTTAGCTTATTTACTACTGATATACTCTTAATATAGTCAGCAGATACAGTAACTGTCACGTATAAACATTTTTTTAGTTACTGACTATTTAAAATATAAATTGATATTCTTATCTTCAATAAACGATGTATCCATTATGAATAAGTGGTTTAAAACAGTGTTCATAAGTCATGCCGACGAAATAGATGTCAACATTAGCATAGTTTCTAATTAAATGAATACAAATTAAAACTAGATATAAATAAATGCATAATTATTGCATCTATTTTTTAAACAGTTATCATTTTATTTTGTGTATCCGAGAAAGAAAGCACAAAACATGAGTAGACGTTTATTGAAGTGATTAACTGAGTTGTTTCTTTTTTTAATCTTAGCTGACGTTTTTAAATCTTTCTTTTCAATTTTATGCCCTTGATTTATAAGAAATAAAAGATGGATAGAATGAAAATATGTTAAAATGAAAGTATTCAAACAATCTATCTATAGTATATTCACGACGGACCACCATTGTTTTCTATTCTATTTACTAATGAATAACAAGTATACAGTTATTTGTTTCTGATAGTGGTGGAGCTTTCATTGTTCTTCCGAACAACATCATAAACATAATGAAAAACTCTACGAAGAAACCATCCAACTCAAAGAACAAAACTCCACCTAATTCATCCACATGAGCCATAAATTTTCTCCACCATATCAGGAGTTGACAATTTATTAGTAGTGTGTTTTAACATTAGACAATTTCTTTTCAGCAGAATAGAGATATACACCACATAATGCCTGTAACTAACAAGTACCAAAATAAAAAATTTATTTATATTTTATTCTTAGAAGTAACAGGAAGTAAAAACAATTTGAGTTTCATTTTTAAAACAAACTACTAGACAGTAAAATAACTAGGGATTAACTTTTACTGTTAAAAGAACTGTTGATATATACTTCAGGAAATATGAACACCGATAAGTAAGTTCCCGATTTTCTAAGTTGACATTATAATTAAAAAAACTTCCTTTAAAAAGTTTCTAAACTGAATGTTATAGAATTTATTAAACTGTCATTTAGTTGTCTAAACAAGATTTCATAATTATTGGACATTTTCATAAACTGAGTAAACCTCATTCAATTAGCTCTTTATGTAATTCAATTGCTCAAAAAATAGAATATTATTTAGATGATTTGAGAAAAGCATTGGTCAAATATAGTCACTGTAGTAACTATGAGAAAATAGTGGTAGGTTTTTTTAGAATAAGGCCTACTATAAATCTCTTATGTCGTACTAATAACCGTTGAACATCATTTCAATACCAAGTCACAAATATACGATACAATAGCTAGTTTTCTCAAGAATGCTGTTCTGACCTCATATAAGCCATTTGCGCTAATATCGGGATCCGTTATTCACCATGATAAATTCAATATTGAACTAACGTAAACATGATTATTATTCCTTACGACGAAGTTTTTAATTTAGTGTTAATCAATCACTTAGGATCTCCTGATTTATAAAAATCCATATCATTATATTTCGATTATTCAGTCAAACGTTTACATTCAAAGGCTCAAAGCTATTAAAAACTAGACCAAACTCAACGAATATTCGATTTTATTCAGTAGTATCTACCTACTACTGTTCAAGGAATTTAACCAACTAGGATATAGTTGGCATTTAAAAACAGATAACGTATTTTTGTTATTGGAAAGTAGTAACTCATTTTAGTTACATTCAACTGGTTTACTTTGCAATTTACAAACACGCTTCATTTAAAGAAAAAAATTACTGTTAAGTTTGGAAACTATTAAAGAGATAATATCATAGACCATATATGAATCGACATGCCAATCAAATGTAAAACATGTAAGATGTTTCTAATGAAATACATGAATTTTTGCAAATAACAACGTCTTCTAAACTTCTGGTAATCTAATGAAGTTGAAAAAAATAAAAAAAGAGTACTGTAGGCAAATTAAAACTAAAATTGCAATTCATTACTACCACATAAATAATAAATATATTTCTAGTTTCAAGGCATTTGATATTTATGAAATAAAAATTAACTGAAATATTCTCCTAATGATAATCGTCATATGCTCACTAGTGACTGGCTTCAACAATGGAGTTCAAGTAAGAAGCCGTAACCAGTGGAGTTCGACCGGGTCTGTTGTAAGATAGTGATTCACTGAAGACTAAAGTGGACAGTAGCGCAATTTCGTGGATTGATTGAAGTTAAACATTACCATGGTCGGATACCAAACGACTCAGTGTGGTCTGGAGGTTGAGCGTTCGTGCGCGAGACCGATAGGTCCTGGGTTCTAATCTTGCAAGACGGGATCGTGGGTACGCACTGTTGAAGAGTCCCATACTAGGACGAAAAGACCGCCCAGTACTTCCCCGTTTTCCATGGTAGTCTAGCTTCAATCGACTCATGAATTCAACTATCAAAATTACTAAAACCTCCAGAAAATACCTTCCTGAAGTGAATTTACCAGATAAATCACAAATTTAGGATGAGAAAAGATTATAAAGGTAGTTTCACCTTATCAAATATTTAATACATTTATGTATAATTTGCAGTTTTGTGATCATATTAATATCCATATATATTAAATTGTTGAATTATTGAATGTTTTAATAATTGACAAAGTAATTGACTGAATAGGCTTACTAATTAATTTATCATTCGTCAATTAATACGATTTAAGTATTTTTGAAAATAACGGCGACATGAAGTAATTTATCAGTGCTTAGTTAAAAAAGTGATATATTGAGACCGTACATCGTTATGTCACACAGAAATCTATTTTTATCCAGAAATAATGATGTCATAACGAAAATAGTCGAAACAGTTTAATTATGGCCTGTTACTGCCTAACTCATGACATGTTTTCATGAATTCTCTCCAACAGAAAAAAAACACTTTTAAATGAAACATAATTACTGGCACACTTTGAACTAACTTAGTAAAAAAAATGCAATCAGATCCAAAAGAGTGGATCTTACGACATAGATTACAGCAAAAATTAAAAAAATAATGAATATAGTTTAAAAAACCCTAAACGAATAGAGTGGAACAACGCTCAAATTCAATATCTAGATATAGAATAAATAAAAATTCAGGATTCCGATCGGTTATGTATAATGTCTTTCAGCATCCACAAAACTTCATCACAATTACAATTAAAAATTTAACCCAAGTTTTATCTTATAAACTTTTATTGATCGGAGTCGATACTTTATCTTATTTCTACTGACCCTGTGCGAATCGGTATCAAAAGCTGACGTAATGATTAAATAAAGTTGCATGAAAAACACACCAACCTTCTTCATTTGTGAAGGTACATAGTATTATCATTCCAAACCACATTTCTAATTAAAAAATCTGTTTTTAACCTAACAGACAATGTTTTTCCATTACATTTGCAACCTATTGATCTTCTCTTACTTCCTGCATCATGTTTCAAAATCACAAGGCAATGTAAATGGGACAGAAACAGTATATTCATTCTTTGATATCCAAACAAATATTCTACCAAGATCCGTATATCTGTGGTGTGATTTTATTAACCACAAGTTCACTATAGCTGATAAGATTACCGCTAAAACAACCAGCTGGTGGAATTCAGCCTTATTTACACCAACTGTATGTATGTATATCAACAATTGATGATAGGTTTCCTCTGATTACTGGATTATTGTTAAAGATGACAATAAACAGGAAATCTCATGCTAAAGATATTTTCACTAGCCAAGACATATTTATAATATAGCTACTATTTTTATTGAGATGATGAAATGACCAATGTTTGGCCATCACTGAAAATCTGAAAGAACTGAACAATCGTTTCGTCATAGTATGAAACTCCCCAACAGTGTGCACTCGCAATCTCGCACGCAGAAATCAAAATCAAGCATTTCGGTCCCGCACATGAACACCTAACCTCTAGACTATTGAGAAGGCATGTCTAACGTCAATAAATTCACTATATAACACAACTATATTCGATTGTCTGAAGTGAATAACTGTCTTACACTCTATACTGGTAGTCTAAAATTGATTGATCCATGATCTAAATAAAAACTTCATATCTACACGACCCTATACTAACAACTATTGGTTTTTATACACTTTAGTCTAAATCTAATAACAGCAGTTAAGTAACTGCTTCTTTCATTTAGAAAGATAAATGACAATACCTTCTAGTGTATCCAACTAACATACTACGTGAATCTGTTTTTTTCTAAAACTAAAAGGTCATTTAATAAGCACAACTTCAATTCATCAGATTCAAGATATTCTTAAAAATATTTTATGTATATCAACAGATATTATCGAACACAAAAATGACATTCCGACATTCATTTTTTGTTCATATTCTACTAAAAATCAGTTGAATAGTGTCGAAACAACATAAAACCTCTATTTTATTCCATAGGTGTTTTAAAAACACAAAAAAACACACACACAAATAATCGTTAACTAGTGACAGATTGAAAAAGCATGAAAATTTCCTACAAAATCTGAAAATTGTGTAAATCGACAAATAGGTTGCCTAGACATGATGACTAAAAGTTATTTCTAAGATTTATTATTGTTATTTGTTGCTTCAGGTGTTTACTTTTCGTATAATAATAATAATAATAATAATAATAATACTGCCCCAAAATATTGATAAATTACCACAAATTGCAAAATATTTAACACATCATATCTTAGTGTAAAAAAATTGTTTCAATCATTGATTTGAAATAACATTTTAGGAAAGTAATTCAGTCATTCAAGATCTAGACAAAAATTGTTCTATGTACTGATCTTCCATGTGCTGTAGAAAGAAAAAAGATGATGTCACATTATTAGTTACAGTAGTTATATTCAATTTCATCTATTCGCACAAGTGATTAGACAATAAATGAAATCAATAATTGCATAGAGAGTTATACAATGGTTTGAGTTACCTGCTAATAAAACTGTAGTCGCTGCTTCTCTTCGCCTTTTGATTTCTAACACCGTAGAGGATTATATGGTAACGGTTACGAGGGTGATTGGTTAACGAAGCACAGCCACTATAAGTCAAATAACTAATCGATACTTCTATTATACATACGATATGTGCAATCATATGTTATGTTCAATATGTCAGAACTTAAGACTCGTACTATCAACCTGATGAGAAAAAACTGATACCTATATGTAAGTTATTCTAAAGGGCCGTAATAATCGTTTCTTTATTTCTGCATAATATTCAGTTAACAGACTGAAATCAACTAGCGATGAACCAAATTTCTTAGTTTGAGGGACTAAGTAATTATTTCAGTCTTAGCATTTTTGAGAGGTCTCTATTTATTTTTGACGTTTCAAAATTATTTATCAGTTGTTTACATCCGTAAACTTTGTGTTTCGTGTATTGTTTGAGTTTGAGTTGGAATGATGGATTATAATACAAAACATTCTACAGATATCCCAGTGCGAATAAGTATTACCAAGAGGTTAAGGGAATATTTTGACCATAAGTCACTAATTGTACTCGATAACGAATAATCGGTGAATAATGACAAAACATTGATGGTTATCAAAGTTTTTTTAACACCTTAATTTGTGTGCTTTTCAATCATCAAATTTAAACCCTTAAACTTTAAAAATTCACAGTACAACTGGATGAAATCAAGGGGAATTTAGAAAGAAGGAATTCATGATTACGTTTCTTAGCATGCTGATTAGGCAATTTTTTGCACATAAGCCAATAAAGTAAACCAATAAGAAAAAATTTTTGAAACCACTCTATGTGCCGAAATCGTGGTGCGATAGGGTAAATTGTAACTCTGCATAGTTGGAAGGCAAAATTATACTATTTAGTTAACCGAAGGTATGCATTCAAATGTTCACCATTTACATCTTCCATCCATAAACTTTTATAAGCTTTAAACGTCGTCATTCTATACATAGGACTTTCTGTTCGATTTATTTTGT